TTTTTGCTACTATATCGAAACCGATTCGTGGTAATACTTATTGTATCATTATATATTATTATATCTGAACGGAAAAATATCACTTTTATTATTTATAATCTTTAATCGTTAATAATTAAAAACTATATAGCCTCTATATGTTTATTTATGCATATATTAGAATTTTCGAATATTCCAAAGAATCTATTCCTAAAAAAGGAAATACTGAGATTTTGTCTCATAAAGGTGTCTCGCAAACACAATAATTTAATAGTATAATACTAGTATAATAATAATGTATGTACTAATAGTATAATAATGTATATAATAATAATAATAATGTTACTATTTCTAATATTTTATACTACTATGTTATTTTCTGTTTTTAAGTATTAGATTCTAGTGGTGTATTTAATTCTGGTTTCCTTTACGGAAATAATTATTGGCTGGGAAGTCGTAGTCAATGTCTCGATACAATGAATACAGCTCGTCTACTGAATTCAAAGCACAAAATATTAAATGAGACACTGTATTATGATTATTATTCACAACAGCAGTTTCCTTCTTTTGAAGTGAATTATTTTGTCGCTCATTTTAGACACAACAATACTCTTCAGTATCATGTGAATATATTTGAAGAGGTAAATTTATGAAAAAGCTATATATGTATAATAAAATTCAAAAAATACATTTATTTATTTATAATGTTAATTTATATGTTAATTTATTGTATTTGTTAAACTTACTAAATTTTTAAATTAAATACAAAATTGAATCAATAGAAAATTAAAATGTAATTAATACTGTATATCGTTAATCTTTATATTCTTATTTAAACTTGCATTTATTTGTGTTTAAAAATGGCACAATTTGGAAAAACGAAGAAATATTAAAATATACAAGGAAAAGAAATTATTTATTAAGAGATTATTTAAATAATTTATATTAATTTTGCAAATATTTACAAATAGAAGCTTTTAAATAAAACTAAAAAAAAATCATTTTATTTAAAGATTTTATTTAAAGAAAAAAGTATTAATTGTTTTGTCTTTTTAAATATATCAGCAATGATATATTGTTTATTACTTAAAAAACCTGAATGACTTATAAAAGTTACAAGAAAGATTTTTTCGCTCTTTAATAGTTTTGAATAAAACATCTTGTAATATACACTTTACGTGATACAGTTTTGATATGAAAATATGTTGGCATGTTTATCAAAATTCGTAAGATGCTACGCCTTAGCGGTGCAGCGATCTCTGAATCTTCCAATTAGTAATGTCACTACAACAATTTGAAATTTCGCGGTTAGCATGCAATTTTTTATTTTTGATGTCTCCTCGTTTTATTAATAGAACAGATTTATAAAATACACATTTCTCTTCTAATTAATCCAGTAATTTAGTCATCTAATGAAAATCAGCTATAATTCAATTTTAAATGGTCATTTATTGATTATTAGAAAGAGAGTCTTTGATACAAGATTGTTCTATTTCGATACAAGACTGACAAATATTTCTTAAAATGTATTTTATTTGTAAGAATTTTTATAACATGTTTCCCTAGTTCTGACACCAGATGTTTAGATATCCGCGAAGTAATTAGAAGCCTTGAATTTCCATTTTTATTTAATAGTAATTCCAAAGCACTTCCGTTATTTCTAATTTTCCTTAATAATTCCTTTCTCTACAATAATTTAAATGAAATACTACAGAAAGTTTTATTTTTTCAGGATGTGATTTTACTCGGACTCTGTTTGCCAGCGTCGTGCTCTATAAATGAATTAAATTTTATTTTGAAAAAAATACTTCATGATAAAATTTCCTGATCAATGATCTCTATTTCATGGATTTTAAATTGATCGAGATTAAAAACTTAAAGATGATTATGAATGGTTATCCAGTAAAATATTATTCTTCATCTGGTAGAGGAAAATATAAATATAGCAATTATTTTATGATATAAGCAATATATAATATATAGATATGAT